TCCACAATACTGGCGGGTGTTCGCAGCCATTCCTCTCCCAAAGACTAAAGGGACCCCTCTCCCTTCTCCTCTGACCTGTTGTCTAGCGTCGAGACCGTGCTCGGGGGGGGTAGACCAGGAGGCATCCGCAGAGACCAGGGCTTTGCTGTTGTGCTTCGTGGAGATGCAGGGTGCTTATCGTACTGGGGGCTTCCATGCTACAGCAGCTCAGAGGCCCCAGGGATGGGGAGGAAGGAGCCAGCAGACAGGCGGTACCTCTCATCTTCATGGAAGGAGGAGGCTGGGAGGAGGGGAATGCACCTTGTGCTGAGATGCATGTGTGCAAAACGGGTTTTGGAACAGAGGGGAGCAGTTTGTCTCCTGTCTGGGGGAGCTCTCCTATCTGAGCCCTGCTGGCTCTTGGATGTGAACTACTCGTTTGTTGAGTGGCTGAAATGTATGAAAGAAATCCGATGGGGGTGTGTGTTTTTCTTCCCTTCTGTTACATTATGAAGGATGCTTTCTGTAAGAATAGATGGCCCCAATTCTGTTCTTTGGGAAGGGGGGAGGGAGAGCTTGGCTTTTGTTAACTGCTGTTTTAAGGAAGTTCTGTTGTCAGCGGGAATTGTTCTGTCCATAGGGCAGAAGGCATCTTCTGGGGGATCTGGGGGCATGTGTTGGCCCAGGATTATGAGTCCAATGAATTCTACAGGTTGTTAAACAAAGATAACCTGGTCTGCCTGAAAAATAAAGCAAACCAACACCCCCAAATGAACAATCTCAAGGTGTTTGATTGTGACTTTATTGTCAGCTGTTGGTCTTACATTACCTGCCTTTACAACTTCCCTGAGTGAATGTTCAGCTATGGGAAAACTTTCGGGTCGGTGTTAACTGTATGGCCTGCAAGTGTCTGGGAGGGCTGAAGGTCTCAGGGAAAACTTAAGTCTTTTTACAACCCATTACTGGCTTTTTTGTATTTCGGTCGTGTTGAAGTTTTTGTAGTATTTCAGTCAACTGGAGGATTAGATTTGGGTGTTCGTGACATTGGATCTTTGTTACAACCGGAAGATAATTTCAAGGGCTTCTGTTCAAGGAAAGGAACAAATTTAATTTCATATTGTATGCATATTATTGCTTTTAAGATAGCATATCTACTGATGAATTTGAATGAGCCTTGTGACCTTTTCTAAATGCAGATGAGAAAACCGGATTGCTGTAATTCATGTGTATATGTTTGCACTTTGATTTATGAAAGTTCTGTTGGCAGCGGAACGATGTCCTAAAATCTCATGGTCTCTTTATTAACTTAGTACAGTAGGCATTTACTTCTGTTGCCAATAGTCTTCAAATTGCAGTTCTCTAATCTGTTTTAACTATCTAGATAAATTGCCCTAATCCGGTCTTCACAATGGCTGTGGTTAAAGAGTCAGAGCCATTTGATTGGATTCAGTGGCTGCCTGGAATGTGGGAGGTACTGCCCTTTTGCAACCCCCTTAGCCTTTTAATCTCTCAGCCAAATGTTCACATTCAACAATTTTGTTTAGCTGGCAATCTGAACATTTCAATATCTCAAAGGCTGCTGTCATGGCAACAGAGATTAGAGGGTGGTGTGGTTTCTCCCGTTTTTTGTGTTGTTTTCACTCACACAGGAAATTGTATGAAGAGTCCATATACATGCAAGTAATCTTACGTGAAATATAAATTGTATGGCATGCAAATTCAGAGCAAACATATATGGAGCAGTTCAGAGCCAGTAGTACACTTTGTGTTGTAGTTGTTGCTCCAGGAGGAGGTTTGGAGCTTGCATTTCCAGCAGCAGCCGCTGCTGTTGGCACACACCGACTTTAATATAGGCTTCGCACATTAGGGTCGTGCAGTGTTGGCCATTGTCGGGCACAATGGTGTGCTCGCTTGCTGTCTTCAATAACATCCCTTAGTGTTTCTCTTCCCAAAGAATGTTCCCTTTTAGACATACAGTAATAATAAAGGTTGTTACTGACAATGGTTGCAACCTTAAGCCCAGCCTGTGGCACTATTAGTTTTCTGTTTGTTGTTCTGGCTTTTTTTTTTCCAAACGTTTAATAATCATTAGAAAGAATTTTTTTTTTTAAAAAAAAGGGTTTAGATTCCTTAAGTGTTCTTGCTTTGACTGTTTATACACTAGAGCATATATGCTGTACTTGCATGAAGCACCTTGTATCTCTAGGTAAATGCAGGGTTGAGACATGTTAAAATCAATTTCCAGTTATCTTAATGTTGTGAAACACATGTCTCATGAATTTGGATACAAATGAGTTCATGCCTGCTGAATCAAAATCTACAGGTTTTTATATGTGGTGTGAAATAGAATGTTGCATTTGTTTACTATTTGTGAAAAGCTTGGAGCAGATGCCCAGGAGTTGTAGTCACTGTTTAACTTTCACAGCATGTTTCAATGCCTATTTTTGGTCTATTTATTCTGTTTCCTTGCTGCAGAAAGTCATGTAAAACATGATAAATTGGATCTTGCGAAGCCTAATTAAATCAATGACTGTGTTCTGCTGGCTCTTTTATGCAGAAACCGCAAGTATGTTGTAAAAGTCGCCACTCCCCTAATATGTGGATAAAGTCAAAGTATGCTGTAATTCTAAGATGTTTGAGCTATATTCGTGCAGCCCATTTTGTGGTTAAGCCACCAGTGACATGTCTGAATAAGTAGCTTTGACAGGTAGGCTAACCACTCCTAAGATTTTTGGTGTTAAAACCTGTATCCATTTTCCATTTCTCATCCATACCGTTTTTAGCAGTTACGGATTGTTTGTCAGCATGAACTCTTCATCTGTTTAGCTAAGGTGTTTGTTGGTTTTTTTTTTTTTTTTGTATTTTTAACAGCTGTTACATAGAAAAGTGTTGAGAGTATCTACAAGAATTTGCTTTGTGTGTGTTGCAGCAACATTTTGGGATTCAAGCAGCCACAATTTACTCTGAGATACCGGAAAATTGTATTTGGCATGTGAAAATCAGTATGTTTACATGAAAGAAGATACAAAGCTATAATCAGAGGTGTCTAGTTGTAATTCTTAGATGAATCAGTCTAGTGATATTCCATGATTGAATTTTTCTCTTGTATTAGCTTATTGCTTCTACTTAAGACAGTGTTTCACATCTGAAAGTTGACTTCAGCAAATCAACATACTGGCTATTGTTGTTTATCTTCACTTTTTTTTTAATAGCAATGTTGAGGGTGTTTTAAACTTCATCAGGGGACTCTGTGTGCGTTTTACCTATTGATATAAATCATTCAAGTACATGCTTTGATTGATGATGTTATGGAGATATGCTTTTCATGTACTTTTCTTGCTGGCCTTGTGTGTAGTTTATTCACTGTGAAATAAAAGGGCAGGGAGGTCACTTGCTGTAATTAAAGAACAAAGTCTATTGTTGTTTGACAGCAAACTGTTTTGAAAGCTACATAAGGGATTTAGCTGTTAAAAACATTGATAACTATGGGTGTCTAACAATAAGCACAGCTCAAGGTTCTTAAAGTTCTGTAGTGCTGTCTAGTAGTGTGACGGTGCTTTTTGAGCTGGGTGAAGAGGTGTTGCCCTTTGGCCGAGGAAAGCTTTCCGTGTGAACCTGCTGACCTCTGCCAGTATGTATGGCCAGAGCTGCTATAGAATTCCTGTGCAAAGCAAGAGTTAGCATAGCACAATGGAGGCCAGTCTAGAACGTTTATAAAATAAAGTAGGGAAGCTGATAACCTTACTCAGAACTACTGGAAAAATATTTCACTTTGGGCATTGGTAATTTTACAATTTTAATAACTTCATAAATACCCAGTAAAAAGGAACGGATTGATTGTGCAGATGTCACGAGGTTAAGCATGTTCTCCATGTTCAAGGGCTTTCCTGCAAGACTTGTTTTAATTATAGCTATATAAAGACTTGTTTTTCCAAAGTAGCATTTTATAGTCCAATAAATGAAATGTATGTTAAAAGTGCTAAGCAAAATCTGCCGTAACCATAGAGGTGTTCAATAACCAGATTCAAGTAACATGGAAGGTACCATCTGTTCCTAGTTTTCAGCATAAAACCAGGAACTGAATAACTGAGATTTGCTCATATTTTTTCGACTCACTTTCTTTTTTTATTATTATCATCATTATTTAAAAAAGTTCACCTGGCACTTTATAGAAGCTTTCTGAAATGCAGTATTACAGGAGAGACTGCGAAAACACATGTTCGTACATACAGTTAACCAGTTCCACTTTCATTTAAAGAGATTTCCAGAAGCTCAGTCATTGAAGAATTTATAGTAGTGAATCACCTCCTGCAGGCAAACACAATAAGGGTCAGTTCTTCAAAGGTCTTACTATTTAGGTAGAACCTGAATTATTCTGTCAATTTTTCCCT